TCACAGTAAGCTTCAGCTGAAGTTGAGGACTACTCGCTCAAAAAGTGTAGAGTAGAAAAACGTGTTCAAAACCTTTGGAGAAAAACTGCAGTTTAAATTTAACGTGATGCTGATGATGTCATTTTGAAGATTTTGTTCTGGGACCCTCTTTACAAGGAGGACTAAGAGTGTGCACAAATGTGAAATCAGATTAACCAGAGAGTTCCAAAGGCTGGCTGTTGAAAAATGTGCACAAAATCTGGAAAAATAAAATATTCAATATTAAATCAGTTCATGCTGTCATCATGGCAAATTTGTTCTAGGAACTTCCTTGGATGGTTCTCTGAAGGTTTGCCAAGTTTGAAGTAAATCAGATATAGAGAACTACCACAGTGGACCAGTGGAGGAATATGTCTACAAACGCTATGGGAAAAGAGTCTGAAAAAAGAAAAGAAAATGAGAGCTTTCTGCCTGTTTTCAACATGCAGAGGGCTTTTCCACTCCTTTTTGACTCAGAATTACTGAAATACCTGCATTATATCACTTGATGACTTAATAGTTACGACACAAACGTTATTAAATAAAACATACCTTTTTATAATGAAGGCCATATTTACACTTTCACTTCATGTAAAGAGCAACAACACGGATCGTACAATCATTTTCTGTCAGTGTTTTCAAGATTTAAAATACAATTTAAATCCTAGTAATTTGATAGCTGTTGACGTGATCAATACATCAATCGATGGTTTTAATCCAATCAGACAGGCAGTTCAGAAGATACAGTGGTTTTGCCAGCATGCAGCGGGCCGGATTTAAATTCGAGTCTGTGGGACTCGTACCCTCATTGTTGCAGACATTACACTACATGCTGATTCCTTTCAGCGCCAGGAATCTTCCTACCTATATCTCCCAGAGTATGTTTGCATATGCTCGAAGCCAGATTTCCACCCAATGGGCTGTTTACATGTACATGTACTTTAGGATATACATGTACAGGGTTTTTAAGGGTGCATCTTTAATAATGTCACATGCATGACTTATCCTCATCCAAAATTGCCAATTTCTAGGCTATAGCGCTTCCATTTTGAAATATCTTGAAAGACTCATAGTATTTCAGGAGAACCCAAGGGTTTATATGAGGCTTCTTTAACCACTTGCTGTTGGGTGCTTTTAAAAATGCAGTGCACACATACATTTCATTTCATGGACGTTTACACCTACACGAATGACTGTTTGGTGGCTACTCTAAACTGACTGGCAACCTTCATTGACTCCTAGGTATTTCAGCCAGGCCTGCAGCCTTGTTAAAGAGAAACCAGAATTGTGAGGTGTTGCATAATTTCCTTTGTCCCCAGTGAATGAGAGTGGGGTCGTTTCAAATGCAGCTGGATTAGCATCAATGGGCCCTTGAGCACTTTTTGCCTGTGGTGCTAATCCACGGGGGTGCTATGCCCTTCAATACCTTCAAAAAATGCAAGCCGAAAAATGATGGCAATTCCCAGCAGCAGGTCTTTTGTTCCGAGTACTCTTTTGTTACATGGACCAGCTCTTTTGTTCCATTTCAGACACCTCGGCTCTGCATATAAACACATGGTGCTCTAAACAGGGTTTCCCGGCAGCAAGTGGTTAAAGATGGAGATTGAGGAAAGTTTGTTATGACAACTTTAACCACTACCAGTCAGGGACTCCGAAATCGGAGCCGTATGGTTTATATGTGTGGCCGGGGTCTCCGAACTCGGACAAAGG